CTATCTCTGCGGTCCCTCCCCATGCCACACTAAGTATACACTGTCAGCCTCATGTTGGTGGCCGCTTGGTCTCTTTGTGGTAGGTTGTGTTGGTCGAAGGAAGCATGCTTGCGGGTGTGCCTGAACTGTACTCCATCGTGTCAACTTGGATTCTGTTGGCTACACCCAAGTTCGTGTGCGAAGAGCGCCGCAAACAGCGCACATACGAAGGCACGCCAGAGATGCCCGGGTACTTTGCTCAGCACGCCTTCCCTGCATCAGAACGCATGAAGTGGGGCCTGGTGCACGCGCGCCTCGCAGCCCAAGAGCAGGCATGTCACGTCAGCAGGAACCGCATCAACAACGTGGAGGACGCCGGCGTGGGTCGTGGCCACCCTGCACCCTCGCAGGATGCCGCCTTGGCCAGGGCTCGGGTGTTTCTTGTGCCATCCCCTGTTCGCACCTCGACAGAGCTGTCCTTGTGTCGCGCGATCCAAGAGTCACCATGCCAGTGATTGCCTCAATACCACTCGCCCTTGTTGAACGCAAGGCTCGCCTAGCTCCGCTGCGCATCAAGTTCACGCAGACAAAGAGGACGCTGTGCGTCTGTCGCGTACAGTGCCTGCCATCCACCTAACCCCCGCGGACCAAGGGATGCATCACGGTTGTGCCCGCGAGCAGACCATCAACAGTGACAACAGCAGCAACAAGGACAGCGTGCTGCAGGTGAACCTGGTTCAAGGTGCCAAGCACGCTTCAAGGTGCCAAGCACGCAGCTGCGTTCACATCAACTGGCACAGGCCACGTGTCAACGTTGCTTCATCTCTGGTTCTTCTGCACGCGCTGTCATTGCGTATGTATTGAGCGAACACCGCTGCCATGCGTGGGGGGGGGGTGTTGAACTAGAGCAAATCGCGTTCCCCCTCCTCAAGCCCTCCAACAGTGAAACAACAGCCGTGGCTAAGCAGGCCACACACACACACACACACACACACACACACACACACACACACACACACACACACACACACACACACACACAAAAGCGAGAGCAGCCAAGGACGGCAACGCAGTCGTTTGCTGCTGCACTGACTACTGCTTGTGTGACTTAGACGCACCACCCTTCTTTGCTCGCTTCTGCGGGCGTTGGTTGCCACCGGCACCGCGCTTCCCCTTCCCTGTTGCTGATACCGCCGTGTTGTTCTTGCTGTTCTTGCCGTTCTTGTTGTTCTTGCTGTTGCTGTTGCTGTTGCTGTTGCTGTCTCCCCCAGTCTTTTCTTCAAACTTGCGCGTTGCCTCGGCAATGGCACCCTGGTGTGGCGAACACGTCAATGATGTGTTGGAGAAACAGGCATGTAAACGAATGGCATGAATAAGAATGAGTTAGTGAGTGGGCGAACGAATAGCAGGTCTTGGGGCAGTGGGCCAGCAGGGTTCGTTTCTCGGACGAGCCGTCCAACATACACACACGCACACATGGTTGTGCTGACCTTTGTCATCTTCATGGGCTCAATGTACATGCCAGCCTTGGTTTCCACAGCAGGACGCACGCTCTTCTGGAACACGCGCACCGTGTTCCACTCGCGGCCTGTAAACAAGCGACGACATGCAATGCATGGCAAACAACACACGATCAGCCGGGAGCAATTGCACTTCTGAGAACACACAGACACACACGCACAGACACACACGCACAGACACACACGCACAGACGCACAGACACGCACGCACACACACGCGCAGACACAAAAGCGATGACGCACCGACTGGCGCCTGCATGACTTGTTCAAAGTGAGCCGGGTTGACAAACGGGTGCGGAATGGCTGCAATCTTCTTCTCCTGCAGTCGCTTGTTCGCCTTTTCTGTAATGATGACCGTCTTGTGCTGCGCATCCCGCCGCTTCTTCGCAGGCGGCGCTTTCTTCACAATCCGCCTACACATGCCACGTTGTGTGTGTGTGTGTGTGCGTGCGTGTGTGTGTGTGTGCGTTGATGAATGGTGAGGTATCGAGAAGAGACGCCAAAGATCCGCTTCAACAACGTCAAATGTACCAGTGAAACATGAGGGTTAACGGCAAGTGTTCCTCCCCTTTCTTCACTCTCCTCCCCCGTTGGCGCCGCTCCAACCACTTGTGAACGAACACGCACTTGACTTTGGTCGAGGACTTCATCCCAACGCCGGCCCATTCGCCCCAACCAGGCATCAATGTCACCTTGTCCTGCAAATTATACCACCGCATTCATCAATACAATGTATGACAAATTGTACATGACTATGCACTCGTGCACACGCAATACACACACACACACAGACGCAATACACACGCATGCACGCACGTACGCACACACGCAAGTACCTTTGGCGTCTCTGCATCTGCAATTGCGGCCTTTTCCTTCTCAAACTCCTGTGCCAATACATCGTCCGATGCAAACGCCTGCCAGCCACGCAAAACACACGCATGAGAAGAGAACACATACACGGGCATGTACCCAACAGCATGTGCAACATGCACCCGCACACGCACAACACACCACATGCCACACGACTCACTCACACAACACACCACACACAACATACACACATACCTGTGCAATGAGCTCCTTGTTGGACTTGGTGAGATCAAGGCGCGTGTGTCCCTGCGTTGCGTCAGCGGTCGCCTCGTCTTCATCCAGAACGTCGTTCTTGATTGCGTCAAGCTCCGCCTGCTTCGCGGTCGTGTTCGTCACAGCCGCTTCCAACTGATACCAATGCGCGGTATGTGTATGTGCATGCGAGAGAATGTGTACATGAACGTGTACGAATAAGTGTGTGCATTTGACCGTGTGTGTGCACGTGTCAGCGTGTGCACGCGTGCAAATGTGTGTGCAAGTGTATGTATGCATATGTATCACATGTATGTGAAGGTAGAGGCCAAGTTTGAGCATACAAACATAGCCGACACAGCATTGCAGCCCTGAGGACCGCCGCAACGGCCACACGAGCACATACGTCCTTGAGCTGCGGTGCGCCGTTGTTCTTGTGCGCCTTGCTGCGCAGCATCTGCAGCTTGGCCATGCGCTTCTCGCTCGCCGTCGACTTGTCCGTGATCACCATCTGCGGTGTCAGGCCTGCCATCATGGTGACACGTTGTGGTGATGAGCATGACGCACACGTGCGAATGTTGGAAAACAGGCCAGAGACGAAGGCGTATTTTCCGTCCACAGAGGCAGACGCACACAGTTACACATACACACATACACACGCACATTCTCTCTCTCTCTCTCTCTCTCCCCTCTTGCACGCATACAGTCATACATACACAGTCATGCAGAAGCACCACGGTAACCCACCGGCGTTGTTGCCTGCAGCGGCCTGAATCCAGGGGTTCTCAGCATCAGTATTGGCAGCACCTGCCTTGCCCTTCTTGCCCTTCTTGCCCTTGCGTTTGCTGCTGTTGTCCTCAGGCTTCCGCGACATGGCAGCAAGAAACAGGTTGGTCTCGCCAGCGTCCGTCGGGGCGGCTTCCTTCGCCTTCGCCTTCGCCTTCGACTTTGCTGCTGCTCCTGATGATGATTTTGTTGCTGTGGCATCATCGCCTTGCTTAGCCTTCTTGGTGCTCTGCTTCTCCTTGGTTGTGGTGCCTGCTGCCGCCTGCTTCTTCTCTTGCTTCTTGTTCTGCTTCTGCTGGCCCTGACCTGCCTTCCCTTTCTGCTGCTGTTGGTTCTTTGCACTGGGACCGCCCGTTGACTTGGTTGCACCGCCCTGCTGCGTATCAGAGGCGCGCGCTTGCTTCTTCTGACTGGTGCTGGTGGTGGTGCCACCCAGACCACCATGCACGGCTTCCGCGTGCGTCTCCACGCTTGTCACCTGCATGTCGCCCACATCCTCGCCACTGGCACCAATCTTCACCTCAACAGCACCACGTGCCCGCACCGTGCGCTTGCCCCTGAATCGCGGTGCTGCACTGTCATCGCCGCCACCAACAACTGCGCTGCTGTCCGCGTTCTCATCGTCACTCGCGCTGTCACTGTCACTCGCAACAGCGCCATCGCGAACACCACCACCAACGCCGTCATTGTCATCGTCGTCGTCACTGTCGTCAGCGCCACCTTTCTTGCTTGCGCGCTTCTCCTTTGCCGTTGCTGCTGCCGCTGCTGCATCTGCCTTGTTCTTGCGGGCGCGTGCTGTCTTGCCGCTGCTCGACGGTCCAAGCTTCATCCTGTGCGCCGTCGACACGTCGTCCGTCTCCGCCGCACCACCGGCCAGCTCAGCCTTCAGCTCTCGCAGCACTGCGCAGGCGGTGATGGTGATTGAAGTAGTGAGGGAGGTGGCGAGGTTGTGGTGCTGTCAATGACTGCAGCGATCACACAAACAAGCCAGCAAGCCGTTTTCCACACACACACACACACACACACACACACACACACACACACACAAACATAAATCCAAACACACACACGTGTACCACCCACACAACAAACAACCAGAAACACACAAACATACACAACGACAAGCATTACGCCAGCACACGCATCGCAACGTACTCTGCTCGGCCTCCTCGCGCTGCCGCTGCACGGCCTGCTGCATGAATTTCATGCCCTCGATCCCCGTGGCCGTCTGCTTCGCCGGCGCCGCACGCAGTTCCTCCTCCAGACCGGCAACAGCGTCCTCCACCGTCTCTTCCTCCTCGTCAAAGTCGCTGTTCATGTCGTAGTCGCCGCCCTGCTCGTCGTCCGACTCCTGCATCGTCGCCTTCTTCAGCAGCTGCTGGCTCAGCTGCTGCTGCTCGTTGAGGGCACGGCGTGTGTCCACGTCCATGCTCCCGCGTGCCATCATTCGCTTGGCCCACTTGCCCTTGTTCTTGTGCTTCAGCGTCAGGCGTTCCTATTCAGCGTGTGTACACGCGTGCGTGTGGTTGCGTGTGTGTGTGTTGGTGGTTTTGTTTGCGTTTGTGCACGTGTGTGAGGAAGACAAACGTTCAGCTAGAATGCATGCAACACCAGTGAGGTGCACGTGAGGCAACAAATGCGGGCATCATCGCCCGTGGTCGCGTCAACCACCACCACCACCACCACCACCACCATCACACCAAGCGCCATGACGGCCATACTGTCACACGTACCTCTGCGCGCTTGCGTTCCTGCTTGAGCAGTCGCTGCTTCCGTTCATCCTCGTCCAACTCCTCAAGGCTCTCGTCATCAAGCCGCTGCGCAGCCTGGCCGGTCATAACGCGAGAATTGGATCACGTTTTTGTGTATGTGTGTGTGACACGTGTGCGTGGTTGCGTGTGTGTATGTGTGCCTTCAAACTGCAAATAAGAGTATCAACAACAACCACAACCACAACAACAACAACAACAACAACAACAACAACAGCAGCAGCAACAACAACAAACGTGCACACATGACCACACATACACATGCAAACGAGAGGCAGAGTGCACACTCCAGCAACAACGCTGCGGACCTTGCGACGGATCTTCCTGTATTTCTTGCTCTTGATCTTCTTGATGCGTCTGCATTTTGCCTCGTAGTACGAGTTGAGCGCCCGAATGCGCGCCAGTTCACGCACGCGCGCCTCAGCCTCCTTTGGCGACAGCGCTGTTGTCATTGGTGTGTGTGTGTGCGTGTGCGTGTGTGTGTGTGTGTGTGTGTGTGTGTGTGCGTGTGCGTGCGTGTGTGTTGAGAATGGTGACGGTGGCCAAACGCTGAGCGTGCGCTTCGTGAACAGGAGTGAAAACACATCCGCGTGCAAATGTGTGCACATGTGCAGCACCAACACGCGACATGTTGATAATACCTTTGAGGGCAAGGCTTTCTCCTTCTGTCAACGCCTTCTTCTGGGACTCAACCGCCTTGCTCGCCTGAAGCGCTTGCTCAATCTGATACACGCGTCCACATGCACAGGCACATACGCAGAGGTGAGATGAGGAAGAGGCGAGGTAGCGAGAGCGGTTGGAGGTGAGCACAGGCAGCTGTGGGCAGAACGCGCAATCACAAGCAGGACATTGCAAGAAAGAAACCAACCAACCAACCAACCAACCAACCAAACAAACAAACAAACAACATCACAAAGCACATGGTGGTGCAATGGAAGGGCGAGCCGTTACCTGCTTCTCGACGTCGTACTTTGGCTTGAACTTGGTTGCAAGGGCGGCGACAGTGGACATGAGACGCTTGGCTGTCGGGTCGCCCGCAAACGACACAAAGTCCGCACGCCGGTTCTCCCGCACAATCGGTTCCTGTCAGTGGTGGTGGTGGTGGTGGTGGTGGTGATCGTCGTCATCATGGTGGTGGTGAGAACGACGTGGATGCGGAGTCACGGTTGCAAGGGTGTCAAAAGCAACACGCACACACGCACACACGCACGCACACCCATGCATACACACATACACGCAATCACGCATGCACACGCACGCACACGCACATCCATACATCCTCTCTTGGCCAGACGACACATACCCATCGGGAAACGTTCTCTGCTGCCTGTGTGAATGCCGTTTGGCGGGCAATCTTCTCCTTTGCAGCGCGGCCAAGCGGCGTGTCAAGCTTCATCGTGCTCTGTTTAGCGCTGAGGGGCGCCAGCGCCTGCTTCAGGCCTGTTGAGCAACCACAGCAGCACAGGGACGAGGTACAGGTAGAGAGCGAGGGGGGATGGGGTGTGAGGGAGACATGCAAACATGGGTTGAGTTGTACTTGGGGTGGTTAGCTTGGCAGATGCAGTTCGTGTGCGCGCAGCACAACGTCTCATCACAACGTTGCCTTGAGCCCATTTCACGACATTACACAGCCGCAACAGCCCTTAATTCCTCGTCCCACATGTACCTTCCCCTCCTAACCAACCACACACACACACACACACACACACACACACATAACACACAGCACACAATACATAAAACACACACGTACGTCCAATCTTTGCGCCGCCGTCGCCGAGTGTGCCCAGGAGGTCTGTGAGGGAGACCTTGTCTGTGGCGGCAGTGCCGGTCACGTTTGCCATGCTCGGCGCCTCGGCCTCCGTTCGCTCTGCAAGCATCGACCATGTACGCAATGATGATGATGATGATGATGATGATGATGATGATGATGATGATGATGATGACGATGGTGATGATGATGATGATGACGATGGTGATGATGATGATGATGATGATGGTGATGATGATGATGATGATGATGATGATGATGATGATGATGATGATGATGATGATGATGATGATGATGATGATGTTAGGACGGCAAGCAATTGGAATGCGGTGAAGTGTGATGAACGAGTGCACTGTAAACACATACACACATATACATACACACATGCACACACAAACACACGTACGCACCGTGGCGGTCAACAAGGGTCTTGCTCATGTTGAGAAAGCCGTCCACAACCTGCTGGTACTTCTCCTGCGCCTCGTCATCATCAAGAGCGTCACCGTCGTCGTCATCATCATCGTCGTCAGCATCAGCGGGCACACCACCAGCAGCGGCTTCGCCTCCCTCCTTGGCGGGCTTGTCGTCGCCTGTGCCATGGACAAGAGCGTGAACGTGTGTAGACATGTGAGTGGGAATGTGAGTGGGAATGTGTGTGTGTGTGTGTGTGTGTGTGTGTGTGTGTGTGTGTGTGTGTGTGTGTGTGTGTGTGTGTGTGTGTAGACATGTGAGTGGGCATGTATTGGTGGGGATGAAGGGATGTTGTAGTCAGTACGTGTGCGACTTTGGGAATGGATACAGAGGTGCAACCAGCACTGCTGTTGTTGTTTGTTCCGCACTCAACGAGCAAATCGTGCAAATCTGGTTGATACACGACGTCGGCCCACCCCAAAGCATGCACCCCGTTCACAAGCGCGTACCGTCACCGCGTGTCAGCATCTCAGACAGGTCCATGTAGTCATCGGCGTCATCATCGTCATCCTGCCGCACACAACAAGGTCAGACGTCTGCAGATGAGTGGTGGGTGCTTAGTGACGAGCAACAGGCCTTAAAGGGTGCTGATCACGTGGACCCAAGGTGGCCTGTCACAATGCCAACGCACGATAATGTTTGCGCTTGTGCCAGTGTGGTTGCCGTACACACGGAATGGAACAAAGACCAAATACCTCGGAGGCTGCGTTGTCTGCGTGCATGGCCATGTTGTCGTCATCTTCGTCCAAGAGGTCGAGCTGTGGGCGAAGCGACGCTTTCTTGCTCTGCTTTCGGGCTGCGGCCTTGGCCGGCTTCTTGCCCTGCATAATGTCCTCGAACATCTGCTCGTCTTCGGAGTCGAGCGCCTAGGAGTACAAAGCGCGTGTGTGCGGCGAGCGAGTGTGTGAGTGAGAGAGTGTGTATGTGTGGGTGAGAGAGTGTGTGTGCGTGTGCGTGTGAGTGTGCGTGTGCGTGTGAGTGTGCGTGTGCGAGTGTGTGTGAGTGTGTGTGTGTGTGTGTGTGTGTGCGAGTGTGTGAGTGAGTGCGTGTGGGCGAGTGTGTGTGCGTGGATGTGGTGAGCGGCAGTATTGCATGCGTGCCGCTTGTCTGTGTTTGTGTATTTGTGCATGTGCATGGCTACGTGCAGGGGACGGCGCGCTTGCCCTTGGACATGTGCTATGTAATGTGGTGGTGGCACAAGGATACTCACGGCATCGGAGTCAATATCCTCGTCCTCGCCAGAGCCGACGGCATACTCCTGGTCAGAGTCGCCTTCATCCACAGGCTTGACCTTGGAGAAGTCGATGGCATCTGCATTGTACACGTCCCGACGCTGGAACTGTGACAAGAACATCAAGAAAGACATGCACCCAAGGCAGGATGACCCACAGAATGAGCGCAGCAAAGGGAAAGACGATGCAGCCACGCACACACGTGTGCACGTGTGCACGTGCGTGCGCGACATGCAGGCAAGTCAAGCATGGTTTAGCCCTCCCCGGCGACAACGCACATCTTCGTCGGTGTCAATGGCCTGCTTGCGAGATCCCTTCTTCTTGTTGGTTGAGCCGCCAGAGCGGCCCCGCTGCTTCCTCCTTCCCATAGTGGCTGGTCCGACGCTCGCTAGATCGCTGTTGGTTGCTTGTGCCTTGTTGCTTGCTTGTTGAGCTTGTTGACTTGTTGGGTGGTGCACGTGTGTGTCGTGTGCTTTTCCGCCGAGGTCCACAAATTGACGTTTGCAAATTGCAACAGCATGACCTCAATTTGCAAACTGCTGACGTGACAGTGCCCGACACACGAAATGGTAGGGTTTTATTTTTCTCGTTTGTGGTTGGATTTGAGTCGTTTGAAAGCTGACCGGCAGCACCACGTCGGCCTTGCACATGCATCTGCGCTGGTTTGGGGTGCAAGGGTGACGCACACGCCCCAAGCGACCGCTGTCAAGTTGCATCTTTCGTGCAAATCGTCGGCAAAATAAAAATTTTCAACCACCATCACCGACGATGAGTTTGTGCCTGATTCCGAGGTGGTGAGCGACGACGATGAAGGCGAGCTGCCACCAACTCACCAAAGCGGGCACGACAAGACATGCCCAAGCCGGTAACCAAGAAGCACGTGACTCCTCAGGAGATCGTGGAGATATGTGCGTGCCTGAGGAACATGAGGGGTCAGGGAACCCTGACAGAGAAGGAAACGCTTCTGGTTTTGCATGTGTACATGCAGTTGAAATTGGCACACTTGGAGAACCGGAGGAAGTCCAAGGGCAAGCGCTCGAATGGCCAGGTCGATGAACGTGCTGCTAAGCAGTTGGGGTATGTTGACACTCTTTTGTTAGTGTGCAAGCTGACGTGTTTGCATGTGTCAACTGTGACATGATTCATTCGCATGGCCGACCTCACTTCACTCTTTTACCTCGGTCTGGAACAACACAGGGTTGGCCTCAGCACTGTGCGTCGGAAGTATGCAATGCTCAACAAGCTGTTGCAAGAGCACGGCATAGATGTGAGTTGAGGAGATGTACCTGCTGTGGTCAACTCATACACCAGCGTGCTGTTTGTCTTAGATCTGTTCATGTTGGCTCATATTCCATGTGCTTCGTGTCTGCAGGGCCTTAAGACACTTTCTGTTGAGAACCGCCGTGGGAAGGCGACACAGCTGCCGACACGTGTGCCCACGACAAAACGTGTGCTCAGGCAGGTTCGCGATCACGTGCGCATGCAGAGAGAAGGTGGACACCGCATCACGGCCGTACAGGTGCTTGACTTCCTACGCAAGCACAGGCATGTGGACGTACGACCTTCGTTTGCTGGCGATGGTGACGACGAACTGGACAGGGCGGCGGCTCTGCGGGCAGTGCAGCGGTTTCTTCGTCGTGCGGGCTACCTTCGCGGCAACAAGCACGTTGTTCAAGAGAACCCGAGGCACAAGCAGCTGCTGGCGAAGTATCTGAAGGAGTTTGATGCAAACAGGAGGTTGCCACCTGACGAGCGCCTCAGAGAGGTGTGTGTGTGTGTGTGTGTGTGTGTGTGTGTGTGCCCATGCTGCTGTGTTGTCGATGTTTCTTCGCATGTGCAATGTTCCCTTTTCGTGTCTCACGTGGCTCAATTGCCTGTAGGTGTATCTCGATGAATCATACATTGACAGGAACTACAACAGGAACAGAGACTCCCTGTATGACCCCAACGACGGTCAAGACATGCACAGTCATCGCAAGATCAAGCGGGGTCGGCGCTACTGCTTTGCCCTCGCAGTTCAGGGCCCGGATCCGCGCGTGTGCACCGTCAGTGACCGCAACGACCGCGCCCTCGCCGGTCCTGTTCCAGGCACGAGCTGGATCTTCGACCCTGGCAGCGCACTGCAGCGTGAGCGGCGACAACAACGACAACAACAACAACAACAACAACAACAACAACAACAACAACAACAGCAGCAGCAAGCACCACCACCTCCTCCTCCGCCACCATCATCGTCACTTCAACCGCCAGCAGCAGCAGCAGCAGCAGCAGCAGCAGCAGCAGCAGCAGCAGCAAGCACCACCACCTCCTCCTCCGCCACCATCATCGTCACTTCAACCGCCACCGCCGCCATCATCATCACCACCACCACCACGGTGCAAGCAGCCAGGGCACACGCGGAAGAAGTGCCCCGTCGCTGAAGAAGACCTGCCTCAACAACCACAGAAGCAACCATCCACACGCAAGTGTGGTCGATGCAAGCAGCCAGGGCACACGCGGAAGAAGTGCCCCGTCGCTGACGAAGACCTTCCTGAGCAACCACAGCAACAGCAGGGCCGTCCCCGGAAGCCCCCTCGTGGGAGCTTCCATACAGGGGACTATCATAAAGCCTTTAATTCTGACAACTTCATCAGCTGGTTCAAGGATGCGTTGCTGCCGAACCTGCACCAGCCGTCGCTCATCATCATGGACAACGCAGCGTACCACTGCACCCTCCCACCAGACACGTCAGTCCCGGGGAGAATGAAGAAAGCGGACGTCATTGCAGCTCTGCGAGCCAGGAACCTGACCGTGAGCGAGACTGACTTCTCCTGCGAGCTGAAAGACCGCCTGAAGTTGTGGGTGAAGAACCACGTCCAACCCGAGGTGGTGCAGCTGGCCGAGGCGCAAGGGCCACAAGGTGCTCTTCTCCCCTCCGTGCTACAGCGACCTCAACCCAATCGAGCTCGTGTGGGCGCTGATCAGGGCAACGTCGGCCGCAGATACAGCCTCGATACAACCTTCGAGGATGTTGGAAGGCGTCTGGAGGAAGAAATCCAACGCCTGGCCGAGGATCGCGGGCAGTACCGCAAAGATGGCAAGACGCGCGTGCAAGCCATTATTGACTCGATCGACAAGCAGCTGGAGCGGCAGCGGCGCATCATCGATGGCAGGGGCGAAGAGGAGGCAGTAGAGCAAGCAGCACCATGTACAACCACCCGAGCTGCGAGCGCTGATAGCACTGACGAGATGGACGTTGAAAAGGCAGCCGCAGTCGTGCTCGATGAGGAGGTTGATTGGGTTGACGAACGGATGGATGAGGGTGAAGATGGAGAAGAGGGCGAAGAGTGTGAGGAGGGGGACGATGACGGCGTGTGAAGACACCACCGGACAACAGCACTCGTGCGCAGTAACTGACACCTCGGCCACTGGCAGTGCACTGTTCTCCGTGACGACAGACAACAACGAGCTTGTGCTGCGCAGTGATGCAGCCGGAGTGCTTGACTTTGAGACGAGCCCAACTGTGGAGGTGGTGGTGACGTGCACAGACACCACGCCGCAGCGGCTGAACGTCACACAGGGCGTGACGGTGCGCATTGGCGATGTGAACGAGCCACCAACAGGCATCACGTTTGATGGCGAGCTGCGTGAGGATGCAGCGGCAGGCATGCTGTTGGGTGAGCTTGTCGTTGCAGACCCAGATGTCAACGACACGCACACGATTGCCGGCGTTGGCATGGACACGCGGCTGCAACTGCGCGGGAATCTGCTGTACGTGCGCGATGATGCGGCGACGCTGTTCGACTACGAGACGGAGCCCTTGCTGCATCTTCACCTGGTGGCCATCGACTCTGCTGGTCAGTTTGTGCAGCAGCTGGTCAACATCACCGTGGAGGATGTGAACGAGCCCCCGGTGGACGTCACACTCACACCGACACAGCCCACCGTCGTTGAGAACACGGTGCCAACGACACGGATCGGCCAACTCTCCGCGCTTGACCCTGAAGGGTCTGGTCCAGTTACGTTCCGGTCTGGTGTACCGGCAGTGCTGGCTGTGACCAGCGATGGCAACGTTACGCTTGTTGCGCCACTCAACTTTGAGGAAAGCAGTGGTGGCGCTGACGGTGTGCAGTGGTTCGGCGTGGTTGCTGTGGATGCAACGGGACTGGAGACTGAGGCGCGCATCCCCATTCGCGTCACGGACGCCAACGATGCACCCGTGTTTACGGAACCAGCGCAGGACAACGCGTTCATCACAGCACCCGAGAACCAGCCCGTACCTGTGGATGTGGGTGTGGTTGATGAGGACCTGAGCGATGACCTGACCTTGTTCCTGGTGGAGGATCCAGAGGCAACAGCGGTGCAGATCACGCCCTGCGCAGGTCGCACGTCCCCCTTCACGCCGTGCAACGCAACGTTCACGCTGCCTGCACAGGACTACGAGGGTCTCGTCGCGTCCACAAACGACAACAAGCGCACGTACACGCTTGGCGTCTCTGACGGAACGACGACAACGACGACCAACGTCACGCTGGTGGTGGAGGACGTGAACGAGCCGCCAACGCTGGCGCTGATCACAACCACGGTGCAGGAGAACACGCCAGAGGGCGAGCAGCTGGCACGCGTGCTTGTGACGGACGAAGCCGACCAGACGGCAACGTGTGAGGTTGTGTCACCGCAGTCGCAGTTTGCCATCGACTCCTCAGCGTCATCGTCGTCATCCATGGCCAACGGAAGCGAGGTTGTCCTGCGTGCGGGAGCTGAGCCGCTCAACTTTGAGGAGGCGCAAACGGCCTCTGTGACCATCCGCTGTGTGGACAGCGGCGTGCCGCAACGTGAGACGACGACCACCTTCACTCTCACCGTCACCAACGCCAACGACCCGCCCACGCGCATCGCGCTGAGCCCGACCGCTGTGAGCGAGTTTGCTTCCGTCGGGAGCACAGTTGCACATGTGTGGGCTGAGGATGAGGATGCTGACGCTGCGCGCTTCCACCGCTTTGTGGCGCTTTCTGCTGGCGATCCTCCCTTCTTCGTGTTTGGTACTTCGCTCGTGCTGTCACGGCGGCTGGACTACGAGACGCAGCGGTCCCACAACATCACCATCCGCGTGGAGGACACCGCGGTGAGCCCGCCCTTGACACTCACGCAGACGCTGACAGTGCGCGTGATTAACGAGGTTGACTGCGACGCAACGCGCTGCTTCAACGGCGGGACTGTGTCGACGTCCCAGGTGAAGGGTTTGAGTGCATGTGCCCACCCGGGTACGATGGCGCGCGGTGCGAGATCAACGTGGATGAGTGCGCACAGCAGGCGGAGCCCTGCGGCCCCGGCGTTTGCGTGGACGGCATTAACGAGTACACGTGCAACTGCACAGGCACCGGCTTCCGTGGCGATGTGTGCGACGAGCCCGTGATGTGCACGGCTGTGCCGCCGCCCAACGCGGCCTTGGTCGTCAACGGCAGCCTTGTTGATGGCGACGACGCATCGCAGCAGCTCGCGTTCATGGAGCAAGTGGGCGTGGCCTGCTTGCAAGGATACACGACCAACGGACTCGTGGACGGGCCCACCACGTTCACGGAGGTGTGCCAGGACAATGGCATGGTCTCCAGCACGGCGTCCTGCATTGATGCTGACGACTGCCTGGCTGAGCCCTGCCTCAACGGTGGTCTGTGTGAGGACCGCGTGGCTGGCTTCTATTGCCAATGCCCATCCGGGTTCTCGGGTGACAGATGCGAATTTGCACGCGACTGCTTCCTCGACCAAGCGGGCGCCACTGCCACCGTGACCACATACGAAGACCTGGCCTTGCTTGCAGAGTGTCGTGTCTTCCACAGCAACGTCACCATCTCCATTACGGCTGCACCTGCGAACGCCACGGGTGACGATACAGCAAACGCCACCATCGCCCACCTCGCTTCGCTCTCAAACCTGCAGCGTGTCGCGGGCGTGCTTGCGCTGCGCAACAACGACCATCTTGTGTCTCTGCGTGGCCTTGCAAACCTGACATGGGTTGGCGGCCTCGTGCTTGAGAACAACGCACAGCTGCGCACCGTGTCCGGCCTCTCTGCGCTCACCACCATCGATGGCAAACTGGTGGTGGCCGATGCTGGCCCTTCCACCTTGCAGGGCCTGGAGCCCAGCACGTGCGGCAGCGTGATTATTCGCCATTCGAGTCTCGTGTCGCTGGAAGCAGTGAACCTGCCCATGTGGCTGCAAGGATCATTTGTGTTGGAGAACAACGACTTCCTGCTTCGCGTCAACGGCCTGGCTGCAGTACTGCAGATTGCAGGCGATGTGATTGTTCGCAACAACCTGCGCCTGATGACGCTCGATGGACCTTCCAACCTTGCGCGCGTGGACGGTGACATCCTCGTTCGCGACAACACCGTCTTGCTGGACGTGGGTGCACTGGCGAGCCTGCAGTCGTACGGTGGCTCGTGGGTGATTGCCAACAACTCGAACCTGTGTTTCATTGGCCCGTTCCTGCTGGAGAACATTGCTTCGTTGGAAGTGAACAGCGACAGCGAGGAGTTCCCAGACGTGATGCTGGCTCGTGACGACTGCCCCGCCGAGCGCGCAGACACAGACGGCGATGGCGTGTTTGACGACAAGGACAACTGCCCGCGCGTGTTCAACCCGCAGCAGCGCGACAGCGACAGCAACGGCATCGGCGACGTGTGCGACTGCAACGAGGGCTCGGATGCGTTCTGCGCCAACGGCGGCACGTGCGTGCAGGACGCGCAGGCGCGCCACTACATGTGCGCGTGCCCGGTGGAGTTTGAGGGCCCAACCTGCAACATCTCCAGCGTGTATCCCGTGCCACAGATGCAGGTCGAGCACTCAGCGCTGTTCCAGCAGCAGCCCGTTCGCGTGTCCTCTGTCGCCTTCACGCAGCCGTACCTGCTGCTGCCAGGCACCAACCCAGAGGTCATCACCGACAGTGCGACCACTGACACGGTGACGACGCGGCTGAGCGCTGCGTGGGCATCTTTGCAAGCGGAGGAGGACGTTGATGTTCCTCGCCAGCCAGCGCACGACGTGGTGGCGACGCTGCTGTCTGCCAGCACGGTGTGGTTTGACGCTCCGCACGTGTGGGTGCACCTGCAAGCGCGCGACGCCAGCTTCAACATGCGCACTGCTGCCACCACTGTCAGCATCACGCTGAGCGCACGTGTGGACACTGATGGTGACGGCACCAAGAAGGACGTGAGCGTACAGGCGTGGTGTGAGATGAGCGCCGCTTCTTCAGGCTGCATTACGTGGACGAGTGTGCCTCAGTCATGGTTCCCCCTTGAGAACAGCGACGGCACACCGGCTGCCATGCGCGCAGTCACGGTCGCGTACGGCATTGGCGCTTCTCTTTCTGCCTCTGCGTTCATGCAAGAGCTGCCAGGACAGCTGCAGCTTGCGTCACGCCCCGCCATTACAGCGAGGGTGCGCAACACCGTGGCTGTGCTGGTGCCGTTTGCACCGGTGTATCGCGAGGATACGACACAGCTGGCCGTGTATGCGCAAGCCGACCGCGGTGTGTCTGCTGTTGTGCTGCGCATGGACATGATTGACTCTGACGCGCTTCGCTTCGTGCGCGTGGTTGCGGCGCCTGGCTGGTCCGCCCGCACATCGACGAGCGGCAACACCACCCTCGCCATCAGCTTGCAGCGCCAGGTGCAGCAGTCGGGTGGCGGTGGCAGCAGCAGCTACGCCAGCCCCGAGGTGCTGTGCACGATTGAGATGGCAGTGATGCCACAGGCCGTGGAGGGCCGCTTCTCTGAGCTTCAGGCAACGGTGGTGGGCTTTGTTGACCTGCAGGGCCGCAACCTGCAGCTGGAGGGCTTCTACCCACTGCCCAGCCCCGCACTGCACCTGCATCGCAACCGCGGCGTGCTCGCCTCCAAGAGCATTGGGTATGTCCCCGTCGCAGCCAACACGCTTGTTGCGCTTCTTCCGCACTTGGCGCAAGCGGAGCTCATCAACACGGCAAGGCTGGACGGCAACACTGTTTCAAGTGCGCTTGCTCTGTGGTCGGCGGAGCACGAGGCACCATCGCGCCCGTGTCGCCGTCAACCACAGCACTTGCATGTGAGAGTGGCAAGCAGAGCGTTGTGCGTGTTGCGGCGGACTGCACTGCCGTGGTGCTGCTGGGCACGGAGATTGAGGGCCAATCACGGGTGTCTGTGACGGTGCGCGTGTCTGGCACGGCCGTTGCTGCATCCGTGGATGTGCGTGTGTGGTTTCCCCTTGCGTCGACGACCACAGCGTCTCTGTCACGCCCAACCACGCGCCCGCTCGCCGGCCTCCGCGACCACAACTGCCAGCCCGTGTATGAGGACGTGTTCCTGGACGTGAGCATCGCGCTTGCGCTTGGCTCTCCACCATCCCAGCTTTGCTTGTACACGATGTATCTGTCTCTTCGTGACGACTTGTGGAATGTGTATGCATAACACGCGCACCAACAAGTACATCGCATTGCGGGCCAGTGATACCCAAACAAATGCTAACACGCAAGAAAGGTACACGACTGCGTCACTGCCGGTGAGGTGAGGTCTTCCCTAGCCTGGAGTTCAGCTTCAGAAGACGGTTGGCGACGGTGGCAGCTCGCATGCGGACGGACCACATGCGCTGCACACGACGATGCGTGCGACGCAAGGCATTGTGGCGGTCTGGTATCTGCGGCGAGCAAGTACGCCGCTGCCACACGCCCAGGTTCCCCCCCGCTTGCGCCGTCAGGGTTCTACAGCATGGTCCCAGAGGGAAAGCGAGACACCGAGCTGTCAGAATCAAACAAAGCAGCCACAAGCGAGCAGGCACAGTGAGTGTGAAGCGTAGAATTACCTGCACGCGATGGTGACCGCTGCTGCCGCGTCGCGATCGCGGGTGTCGCCGCAAGACTTGCACCGGGACTGCCTGGACGCGTCAATGTCGCGAGGCCACGCGCAACACAGGGAGTAGCGCGTGGTTCGAAACTCATCGACTGTCTGCAAAGGGGCGCGAGCTTCCAGCATCCTTCTGAGCCGAAGGGTGCTGGACTTTGCGCCACCACCCCGACCACGATGCACACTGCACACGTTGACCAAAACAAGCCGCGACAGAACCTTCATTAGAACAGCGCCACCACGCAGGCATCAGACAAACAATGTCGCTAGCTAGCGGGGCATGAAACGCACCAGGCTCCAAAGAAAATCTGACTTGGCCCCAGCCGCCGCCAAAGCTCTTTGCTGATACGGTCGGATTGCCTTCATCCGGGTGTGAAGCTTGCGCTTCAGCCGCCGACCGGACAAAGCCGGAGGCCCGCGCCCGTCGTCCCCTGAGCTTGCGTCCTCACAAGCACCTTTTGCATCATCACCGCCCCTGTCCTCAGGGTGGCCGTGTCCTACTTTACTGTCTTTGATGGCGCCATCATCATCATCATCACAATTGACGTCGTCACCCTCGTCATCGTCACCATCGTTGTCACCATCGTCACCATCTGTCGACGTGGCACCACGAGCTGAAGTTCTGCCAGCCTTCACTCCGCACTCAGACACTAGTCGCGCCTGGCTAACTGTGTACTTCTTTCCGTCTCCCAGCCTTACGGCGACGAGCGGCTTACGTGTACCAGGGTCCAACCCCACCACTCGACACACATCGGGCTTCACATCAGTTGCCTCAGTCTTCCCCGCCTTCTTTGATGTGCCAGTGCTGCGGGAACTGGAGGTCGCGGTGGAGGTCGCAGGTGCCTTCTTCTGGATCAGGTATGCGATGTGTCCGTTTGTGCGGATGCTGCGCACGTTCTTGGACAGCACGCTGGCTTGGCACTTCAGTGCATGACATGCACAACTGTCGATCGTGATGAATGGGTGCCGAGCAGCGAAGCGCGGGAAAACTGCTGAAGTGTCACCACCTTGCTTGTGTGTCAAAGCGGCGACGAACAGCGCCTGTTCCGCCAGAGACACACAAGCAAGCCGGGCATCATCAATACCAAGACATCCGCCACCGGCTCGCGAACTGCGCGCTGCTGCCTTTCGGGCCGCCACTCGAAGGTACAGCCGGCAGTTTCCCTCCATGAGGCGAAACTGCAGATTGAGAAGAGTGTGAGCCTGCAAGCAAAAGAACATGTGGCGCGTGGTGGCTGGTAAGCTGAAGCGGGGGTAGCAGTCGGTGCATGTCTCTCACTCTCACTCTTGCATCAACATGCGCACTGTTGCACAAACACACATGCACGTTTAGCGCATACACTCACGCCCGTTCACATCACATTCATTCACACACACACACATTCACTCTCACCCACTTGCACACACACACACACATACGCACAAGACACCGAGGTACATTTACGTTTAGAACATCGCCAACTTCAAGTGTGCAAATATGGCTTACCGCAGTGGCAGACATGAATGATGGCCGTGTTGGCACTCGGTCGCCGAAGAAACGCTCGATTCCCTGTGGGTCAGGTTGGCGAGCCTCCTTGTTGCGTGCATGCTGGCGCATGCGGGTGCACACCCTGCCCATGCCGTGGGCTGACAGCTCAACGACCTTGCTTGAAAACGTAGCTGGCTCGGTGGGCGTTTTGACTTCCTTGTCCCACTTGCCTGTCTTGCGAAAGTCGATCTTGGCTTGAACGTAGCGTTTCCTCGTTGTTTGTGCGAGCTCCTGTAACTCACCAAGTATGTCGTGCTCCTCCGCGCACTTCAGGTACATATCCCGAATAGCTTCGGTCACCGCCCAGCGCATATCCCCCACGTATCTGCAAGGCGTGCGTCAAACGGGCAAGGGTGAGTGGAACAAGCTTTGAATGGTCTGTCATATAGAGATGCGCGCGTGTGCATGTGAGGTGGCAGTTGGTGCGTGTCTCTCTCTCACACTCTCGCACATCACATCGACACGCACACTGTTGCACATACACACATATTACACATGCACACATATTTTCACACAAGCACACTCACACTTATGCTTACACTCACGCACCTGCAGATTTGGATTACGTTCGCGCGTGGTACGCCGAGACCGATGGAGGAAAACGTACGAAGGTGCGCGCGATGACTGGTGTCGGCCTCGGAATTGTTGTCTACCTCGGGTTCGTCTACGGAGGTGTGGGCGTGGGCGTGGGCGTGGGCGTGGGCGTGGGCGTGGGCGTGGGCGTGGGCATGGGCGTGGGCGTGGGCATGGGCGTGGGCGTGGGCGTGGGCGTGGGCTCTGGCTTGAGCCAACGGTTCTTGAAGTGCTGTCAATAAGCCAACGTTGTCCCTGCCTTTGGTGTAGTCACAGCCTGCCAGTATTGTCAATAAGCCAACGTTGTCCCTGCCTTTGGTGTAGTCACAGCCTGCCAGTATTGCTGCAATTTGCAGCATCGAAGGCGTCAGAGAGGCGTCTTCCTCTATTGCCTTTTATTTGTGACACCACATTGCTGGGTATGTGTGTATGCGAGTGCGCGGGTGAGTGGTCGAATGTGTGTGCGTGGGTGTTTGCTTGTGTGTGTGTGTGTTTGTGTGTGTGTGTGTGTGTGTGTGTGTGTGTTTGCGTGTGTGTGTGTTCGTGTGGATATGAATGTATGCGTGGGTGTTTGCTTGTGTGTGTGTGTGTGTGTTTGTGTGGATATGAATGTATGCGTGGGTGTTTGCTTGTGTGTGTGTGTTTGTGTGTGTGTGTGTGTGTTCGTGTGGATATGAATGTATGCGTGGGCGTTTGCTTGTGTATGTGTATGAGTGAGTGTGTGTGTTATTGTTTACATGTGCATGCGTGCGCCCAGTTCTCACCTTGCGCCGTACACCAGCAGGTCACTATCCTCAGTGAGTATGGCTGCAATTTGGCCTTCAAGTTGAAGGTGGGCAAGCATGGCATCAGCTTCGCCGGGCGCCTGTATCACCTCTTCGCCGCACGTACACAAGACATGGGTGCGTGCATGAACTGCATTAGGGCGGGGTGTACTGTGCGTTTGCTTGTAGGGGTGTGGTGGCGTCAGTGACGGAGTCGTGAAACGTGTGGGAAGGTTTTCGACAGGATTGGTGCGGTGCGAATGCTGTACAACACCAACATAACAAAGGCAAGTTTGTATCACCAGCAGACTCACCGATTCCATTTTTGGCGGCCCATTCCTTTAACTGGTGCTGGCTCGGCCTGGCAATCCCTCGTTGGTAAGCTGCCCTTTGCCGCTTCGCTTGTACAGGTGCCTTGATAACCGGTGCCTGACCATCGAGGACAAGGACGGGCACAATATTCAACCTGGAACAACGCCCAACAAGGTCTGTGCAGACCGTAATTCCGCGTCCGACCGCGACCCCTTTGTGCAGGTATATCATTGCATCCACCCCCACCCTGCTTCCGCTGAATTCTGCGAGGTGCACACTCACCGTGCTGTCTGCAAACAGAGACCAGAAGCCACGTACACCCATCGTTGATTGCAGAACAGTGTGTTGGTGTTGGAATGCGTGTTGCGTGTACTGTTCACCGTGAAATGTGATGGTGCACCCTGCCAACTGATCGTTGCCACACTCACATGGCGTCATTGCCAAACATGGCAAGTGCATGAGCTGCTGCCGCTGTTGGCGATTGGTAAAATTATTGAGTCCAGCACCGTTTTGACTTCTGCGAGACTTGCATCTATTTCGCGACCAACATCGGAGCACCGTATTGAGTTGCCCAGCCAGTGACGAATTTCACGACACGTCCTGGTTAGTGAGGCACATGCATGCAGGCGCGCGTGTGTGTTTGTGCTTGTTCGTGTGAGCGTGAGCCTCTACACGTCTGTGTACGTGTGTGTGTGTGTGTGCAAGCGTGTGCACGAGTCTCTCTCTCCGTTTTCTGCCTCTTTCATTGCCACTGACCCCACAATGTTTGCATTGGTGTCTGTATCTATACTCACTGCGTGCGTCTGCATGCACTCCTCGTATCAGTGCGCGTGCTTGCATGCAAGCAAGAAGAAAACACACACGCGCGCACACACAGACACACACACACACACTCTCTCTCTCTCTCTCGCGCGCACAACACAACACAACACTACACTACACTACACTACACTACACTACACTACACTACACAGCACAGCACAACACACACTCTCATTTACTCTCTCGCTCCACCTACTCAACCTTCTTCGTCCTTCACCCCCCCCCCCTTTTCTTCTTTCCTCTTCCATGCTCGCAGGTGTACGCTTCAGACACTTTCGCCATTCATGTCCTGTGCAGCAACGGGGCCGTGAACATGAACACTAGCGTCCCGCTCCCACTTGGGTGACACATCACTTCTGCCGTACCAGCACGATGCATCCCAGCGGTTTGCAGTCAATCAGCACGGCGTGCATACTTGCCGCAACATCAAACGGACAGTCACGTCAGACGCTTGCGGGCGCTACGTGGCAGGAATCTTCCAAGTGGCGCATGGCACAACAAAGGTGTGTGTGCGCGCGCCCGTGTGTATGTGTGTGTGTGTGTGTGTGTGTTTGCCCCTGCATGTATGCGTGTGTGTACATGCGCGTGTATTTCAGCACGACGTCATTCCTTGCCCACACCTTCCTAACCCCTGCACACTCGCTTTGTGTACGTTTCTGCTACAAACTTACTCATGTGCATGTGCTGACGTGTCTTCATCTTCACAACACGTGCGCCTGCGTGACAAATGACAGGAGACTGGCCGACAACCGGCTGGCATCGTTTTCCATTGACATCATCGGCAACAATCCACTCAGCATCCTGTACGTGCACATGAAGACGACGAGAACGAAAGCACCCCTCACTGAACACACACACACATGGCACACGTGCGTGCACACCCCCTAAACACCGACGTCCACATCCACGTCCACAAACGCAGCCTTGCACCAAGTTTCCTTGCTCATCCTATCTGCATTCATATCATAGCCTCTCACACACACTCTCACACACCCCCCCCCACACACACACACACAGGCGACTGAACAACAACACGCTGGAGATGCTGGTGTACAACAACGACACGCGCTGGGCCAACCTCACACAACTGTACGTTGCACCTCGACAGTTTGCGTGCCTGGATCACTCCGCCATTGCCACGTTGTCTGCTTCGTCAGCCACTCACATACTCACACGCATGTGGACATGATGACGGCTGGCTACTTGCGACCTTGCAGGTACTTGCGCGACAACCCGTGGTACTGCTGTGGCATGGAGTGGTTCCGGGACGCGGTTTCCATTGTACAAGACCTCCCCTTTGTCGCATGCGCCGCCCCGCAGAGGGTGGCTGGTCACCTCATCGCAGATACAATGGGGCCAATCACCATTTGCACCCGAGGTGTGGCACACCTACCCGCATGAGACACACGACACACACGTACACGCCCGCACACACGCACTGCATGAGGACATGATACGTGTACTTGCTTGCTCAGACAGACTACGCATGCACACGCCTTTACTCATGGGGTTTGTCCTTGCGAGCACCAGCGTCACACATCCCTTCACAGATACGTGCGCACATTGACACACTCACACGTAACCCCACCCGCACACGCACACACACACACGCACCCAACACACACACACACACACACACACATGCCGCGACGTGCAGTTGATCCTGATGCGCCATCCACACTCAACGTGACATCGGCAGCACCGACAAGTGCCACCGCTGCGTGGACGCGGCCCCACGGCAACTTTGCTCCCATCGACTACTACACGCTCGATGTTCGCCTTCACAACACCACGGACGCGTGGCTCCCCGTCACCTGCACCAATACCTCGTTCCCTCCTGGTGACACGCGCACACCGCTCCCGCACAACCAGTGGCGAGTATGTGACAAGAGGCTCAGTGTGTGTGTGTGTGGTGAAGGGGAGTGTGAGTTTGAGTGTGTGTTGTGTGTGTATGTGTGTATGTATATACGCATGTGTGTGTGTGTGTGTGTGTGTGTGTCAGAGCACGTTCATATCCGATTCGAATCTCAACGATCATGTGTGCACTTCCACTGTGCGTCATTTCTGCTGCACACATCCACACCAAACCTGATCCATGCACACAGTACGCCTCCTTCATCTTTGCTCTCTCTCTCTCTCTACTATTGGCCTCACACGCCTCCCTTCCCCCAAAATCACACCCACGCACCCCTCCCCCATGTGCAGTCGCTATCTTGATCACGAGCCCGCGAGTATGGACGAGTTGGCAACACCGCTGCACGCCACAATCACGGGCCTGCTTCCGTTCACCGCCTACGACGTGCGTGTGCGCGCTGTGCACGGTCGCGGGGTGAGCGGGTTTACAACAGCAGGTGTTGTGACTGCGGAGGATGTGCCGAGCAGACCCGCCGCTCCGCTGGTGCTGGAGGTGCGGCAGCGCGCTGTGCGGGTGAACATCAGCGTCCCGACCCCCGCCAACGGCCGCATCGTGGCGTATGATGCGCAAATCGTGGAGACGCGCATGGAAACCCCTGGCCGCCGGCCCCTCAACCGCATCATCACACTCACCACCAATGGCACCACACCCTAACACCACCAGCAACACAAACACTAACACCCGCAATATCAACACCACCAACACCAACACCAACGCCAGGGAATACACGAGCAGTGACCTTCGCCCGGCCACGCCGTACAACGTGAGCGTGCACGGTGTGACGAGTGCCGTGGCCGGACCGTTCAGTGCACCTGCGCTGGTGACGACGCTGCCGGCTGCACCGGTGACAGCGCTAAATGAGGTGCATGTGCGCGTCAACGCGACGGCCTGCCTGTTTGAGTGGCTGCCGCTCGCCGGGAACGATGCGGTGTACGCTGTTGTCATGGGTTCTTGTGGCCGTCCGCTGCGTTGTGCGTTGTGCGAGTGCGCGCTGCAGTTGGCGGGCCGTTCAGTGCACCCTGGTTGCCTGTGTTGTTGTGTAGGCGTGTGTTAAACTTACCGCTACTGCTGCTGCACTGTGGTTCTGCATGTGCCTTGTGTCCTTAGGTCCTTGAGTAAAGATGAAAGGCAACGTGTTGATGTGACATGATTTGACACACAATGCACAGAAAGCTCAGAATGCTAGAATGGGACACCACAACAATACCTGACAAAGCTCGACAGCTCGAGCTTTGGCTTTTGTGCAAAGGCAGTGGCGTACCTCCAACCGAAAGACAGGTGGTAAAATGTTGGTAAAGGGGGCGTGGCTGTGAATGGCGCGTTGACGATAATCTGTCAATGCCGCTCCCGCTTGCCGCTTTGTAATTGGCAAACTTTCGACAGATGGGCGTGTCTTCTGTCTTGTCGCAGGTGATTGGTTAAATGGGGGAAGAAACTTTGCTGAGAAAACCCCAGCAGCCAGCCAGTGTGTGTGTGTGTGTTTTGTTTGTTTGTTTGTTGTTGTTGTTGTTGTTGTTGTTGTTGTTGTTGTTGTTGTTGTTGTTGTTGTTGTTGTTGTTGTTGTTGTCGAAGAAAAGAGTTTGTTTTTTTTTTCTCCCTCACCACCAACACCAACACCACCGCAGACACACACACATACAC